GTCTTCACATTCTCTCTTTAAAGGGTTATGTTCTTTTTTTAATAAGGCTGGCATTGATAAAAGTTATACCCCACATTATTGCAGTGTAAAACAAGAGAGTTTGAATAGGTATATAATCGCAAGTCTTTTTGTATTGCTGGATGTGGGTTTTTAGATCACGTGATGTCTCCCCAATGTACATACTATAGCAGTATAGACATTTGATTTGATAAACTCCGACATTTAAATTGGTGTTAGTCATGGAGGATGGTGTTTAATGATCCTCATGTCAGGGATGGATAATTTATTTATGAGTTTAGTTGAAGTGTTGGAGGGCAGGATTATTAATTTTGCATAATTTTTGTTGGAAGTATTTTCTTTTATGGATTTTTTTTTTTTTTTTAACCCTAACCCTGCTCACTTTTTTGCATTTAAAATATGCTAATTTAAGATAAGGTAGTGTAGAAGTTTGAATGTGTTCTCAATATAATCCTCTTCTTCACTAATGTATTCAGGGCTACATATCTTATGGACTCTAAGGTAAAATCCTATGATTATTCCAGATTTGATTCTCCAGTTGTGGTGAAAATATATATCTCAATTATTTTCTATTTTAAAAATATGGTTCCATCACTACACAGGAATTACCACATTTCAAAACAAAAACTAAAATTTTAAATTTAATTATAAAATTAAATTTAACATCCATAGCTCCATTCCATTCTCAATCAATTTTTGGAATAACCTATTTTTAGAAATTTACTTCATTTATAAGCAGTAAATTTCTAAATAGGTTATTCCAAAAATCACTTGAGAATGGAACGGAGCTATGAATTTTAAATTTAATAATTCAAAATGCTAGTTTCTGTTTTGAAACATGGTAATTCCTATGTAGCAATGGAACCATATTTTTAAAACAGAAAATAATTAAGCTGTTTTGTATCGAGCACTAATTTTTTTTTTTAAATAAAAATAATTACTAAGAACACCGGATTGTAAATCTTAACTGTTCTTTCTTATTTTCAAGCAGTATTTTTAAAGAGAATATTTTCTCCACAGTAAACCTGAAGCAAAAGAATTCTAAACTAGTTTTTTTTTCTTTTTTTACTTGTATCTTTGCCAAAACAATCTAGTTTATCTTTAATAAAATCTATCCATTATTAAACTTTCTTATTCCAAGGTTTTGAGGGAAAGAAAAATAATTAAGTCTTCATTCACACACAGATTTAAAAAGGTACAGCATCCAACATAGCTTAGGGGAAAAAAGGGCCATCTTTTTTTTTTTTTTTTTTTATTAATTATTTGCTGGTACTGACTCATGCTCACAGTCAATTCATATTCTAATCTCCTGGAATCTCTTAAAAAGCAACTACCTTCAACCACCAACTTAAAAAATATTCCTATTGCTTTTCTCTCCAGGGGTCTTCCTAAGAGATGCATGCTTACAGATGTGTGTCCCATTTAGCATCTTCACAATACTTATGTTATTTCCATGAACAACAACAAAGTTAAGAGTCAAATATCAAGGTTTTAACACTTGTTAGTTTTATCCTTAAGCCTTAATATATTTGGAGCTTTGTTCTGGTTATGGCTGATAACCTTCAAAAAGAAATCTAACACAAGTAATATGTACTTCAGTCACCATTGCTATTAGAGTAGTAGCAGTAAAGTAGTTTATATATTATATATATATATATATATATATATATATATATATATATATATATATATATATACACACACACACGTATGTGTATATAAGAGGGGGAGAACAATTGTTCCAACTTATCAAATAGAACACATTACAAGAAGAATGTAGAAGACATTTCTTTCTAAACAACTTATATATAACTTTTCTTTAAATGTTAGCATATGCTGCACATTGGGGGGGTGGGGTGACTAATAATATTTGGTATGTCAACATATGAGAAGCAGAAGGTAAGTTTATGTGGGTGTATAACTACTAACAGTACTCACTATATTTGGCAACCATTAAAAAAAAAAAAAAATTAAATAAAACATACATATGTATATCTCAAAAGTATCTTACTTCAATAGAAAGGAAGAAAAAAGTACAATTCTTTTTATTCTTCTCAAGTATACAGTGATGTTTCAATAAGTAATTGCCTAAATGCTAAAATAATTTTATTAAAAATTCCAAGAATTTTATCACAATGTATAATGACCTGAGTACTGAAGTAATTTTTAAAAGAAAAAAAAAAAAAAAAAGACTAAATTTGTACCAAAAGCCAAAAAGAAAATCATTAAATAAATACCAGTGTTACCGAAATAAGTTGTTCACTGGCAGCAGTTTTTCCTCTGTCTTGCAGAAGAGGAAAGTATATACTATTAGTGATATTTTCTTTTTCATTTAAAATTTGATGTTGTCTTATTGAGAACCTTCCATCAGATACCTCCCAAATGGAGGATATTCTGCCTGACAATTTTAGCATTTGGTACATTTTTATGTAAGAAAACATTTTTAAAGAAATCCTAAATCTATATAAACCTTGGGCTTAACATTTAGAGTCAATTTTGATGATAGGGAGCAGAAATTTTGAACACCTTTAATTATTTTAGTAAGATTGTTAAAAAGATGACAATGGGAATGTTGCTAGGAAAAAAAAAAAAATTTTAACCTAGTAAAACTGTTTAAACAATGTAAAATTAATATGGTTTATATAAAAGTGTCATGGCAAATGTTAGTTTCATGCTTCATTGCCATCTTTACACTTGACCAAGTTTGAAAATTGTATTAACGCATGAAATGATCACCATGCAGTGTTGATTCTGATGTCCACTGTTGATATCTGAACACTCAATTTCCTATTTTGAGCAATCTTCCCCTAGAAATATAGTAAATTTTTCTTTTTTACTCATTTTACTTTGTCACCGCAGTCAAGTTTCAAAATCATTCCAAGTCCTGATTTAAACAAACTTTGAAGTTATTTTCAAAGGATTTTTCCTACAAACAACTATAAAAAATGAGAAATTAACTTAAAAATGGGGTGGGGCATAAGTCACTAGTTCTACTTAGATACTAATGTCGTTTCATATATAGAGCTTTTTTTCTTTTAACACACTAATGTTCATTCGATACAAGGTCCAAGATCCACTCAAGTTAGAGGATTACTGGGTGGAGTTGTATTAGTGTGAGAAAGGACAAACATTAGGAGTATACAGAAGTAGACTTTAGAAGGAACCTGAAACCCAATCTTAAACAGGAAACCAGGGATAAACATTTACTCCTATTCGAAAGGCCGGGAAGGAGTATGAACTGGATGATATGCAAACATATCTACTTTTTATCTTAGAAATAAATTTCAGATAACTCCTTTGCCAATACTAATCATGAATATTAGTGAAAAAAATCTGATCAAAATTCAGAATATTTATAGACTTCAAAGAGCTCATTTGTGTTTCCAGACCTATCCAGATTCCTACTGCCAATGTCTTTATTCTAAATTAAATCCATTTTGTTGATTACTCAACTAAATAGAAAGTAGTCAGATTAAAGTGTTTTCATTTCCTTTATAATTAATACACACATACATACATACACATAAGAAACTTAGAACACTTTTTATACAAAAAGTAGAATTTGACAAAATGCATTTAATCTTTTGTTACTGAACATGATCCAATATTAATTGGAATAATATGAAAATCAGCTTTGTACTTCTGGGATCTCCAAGAACTGACTACAAGATGAACAATACCCCCCCAATATCGCTCAATATTAATACGAGCTATATGCCAAAAGTAACATTTTAAGTGTTTTTCTTGCAGAGAAAAAAATGATTGGACTCCCAGATTCCACTGAATTAGAGATTGCCTAAAAGAGTGCCTGAAACTTAAATATTCACAGGATAATTTCTTCTTTACCTATAATAAACTGATGAAAAATTCTCTCAACAAGATCAGGGTCTTAAAAGATATTGTGTACCAATTTAAAAAGTTAACTGAAATAGAGGTAAACTTCAGAGTTACGATTAATTGCTTCACTCAAATACTATAAAAAGGCACCACATTTGATGGTAGATAAGGAACCCAATACAATATAAGAATAATAATCAAAAAAAAAAAAAAAAAAAAATTTTTTTTTTTTTTTACTACACACTGTGAAGGGAGATACACAAATACTGGAAATTTGACTGAGAACTTTTCAGTACATACACTTTCAATTACAAACAAGACACTCCCTCCATCCATATATATATATATATATATATATATATAAGATGGAGGTAAATATGAAATTTGCACCCCAGGAGTATTTAAGATTTTTTTTTTTTTTTTAAACCGAAATTGAAATGCACAAATCTGTTACAATTTTACTGACAAATGTTGGCTAGATCAACATCCTAAATGTACCCCCCCCCGTTTTGGTTCTTCAGGTTATATTTCAAATATATAAAACAGAAATTAAAGTCATTTCCTATCCTAGAAGTCAAAATAAAAAATAAAATAATTAGGAAATGCATACTTACTACATTTCTTACAGATTTGAATGACAGCCCCAAAAACATTGCAAGAGAAATCCACCATCAATTCTATGATTTTCAAGCTAGGAAGCTGGATTTGTAAAGATTTGTGCATTGGCGTGAATTCTAACTTTGCATCAGCTTGTACTCCATATTGATCTAAAGTTGAACGGGTACGATTAAGCCATCTGTTTCGCAAAGGCCACCACAAAGCATGATCAGACCAATCAAATGCAATATCTGAAAGTATAAAACAAAATTTATTAAAATTAAGGTTGGAATTTTAAGTCAAATTAAAATCCAGAAATTTAAATACCAATTTTCTTAGACTCACCCTATATGAACATTGATGCAATAGTATCTGTTGTGCCTTCATCACAACCACATTTGCAAGAAGTCAATGTGTCAAAATGGAGTTATCAAACAGCAACAACTTACTAATTTAACGGTTATCAAAAATGACAATTTATTCTATTAAGTCCTTAATGTTATTAGGTTTCTACAAGTCTTTATTTGTCAAATTATCATGGCATTCTGCACTTTCAGAGCTAGCTGTTGTCACATGGTTTTGTAAAGGTCTTTCTTCAAAGAGCTTGCCAAAGACACTGCCACCTGATGTTACCAATTATTTTCCCTTACTATTAGGCACCTAATACAAAGAGAGGGTCAGAATTTTCTCAGTATGCTATAAACAGGAGGATCTTATTCAAAGGAGGCCAGAATCATTTAAAGTGTCAAAAAGTGCAAATAAATGGTTTTCAGCGGTTCCTCAAAGTAAATTAAATGAAAATATCCGCCCCCAGTTAATAAGCACACAAAAGTACACTAATGGCATTAAAAGTTAATTACAAACATACATATGAGATTTGCTTATAGATGCTCATCAAATGAAACTCATTGACAATTTAGATAAGTTTCAAACAACAGCATCAGAGAATGTCACATTTCATCATGTACAAAATCCACCTGGTCTTAATCTAATGGACAATGGCAAGAAACTTCATTATGACAAACATGAGTTATTGGAGTGGGGGGTCGGTTATTCTAAGACAAGAATTTTAACAGAAGCAAAACATTTGGCATGTGAAATGTTTATTTCATTGCCCAACTAGATGCACAGAGTTTTTTTTTTCCTCCTGAAATATATTTAATCAAAGAATCAACCAACCATGACAACATTAACCTCCAAAATATTTAAGTTATTAATATTAACATTAACCAGAATCTAGACAGCAATCCTTCAGACTGTTTGGCAAATCTTATTGTCTAGGGATTTTAGTTCACTTCTCTCAGAAGGATTTCAGCTTTATTGTAAGTACCAATAAACTTTTGCACTTTATATCAGGAGATTGGTCATGGGTTATCAAAATCAATTTCAAGGAGTGCAAGACAGTTACTTGGCTGGAATTCTTGGAATGTGTCTTTGGGTGTGAATTTTAAATGCTTCATGCAGAAAACACAAAATCATGAGCAACAAGTTTATGATCAGACTCCAACTGCGATGACAAGTGACCCACACAAAAAGGTGCGTGGGGAGGAGGATAAGTTGAAAACAAGTTAATACGCAAGTAATATTTCATAATATTACACAAGGTTTATTAATAAAAGATGAAAATTTAGGTTGGGCTGAAGTATTTTTTCCAGGCACTTAAAGATGGCAGCAATTTCCTTGAAACAGAACAGATTTTTTATGTAAAACTGATAAGAACAAGGGCTTGGTTTTGAAGGCAATAAGAAATACTATGATCAGGCCATCAAAAGTCAGAAATCAAAACTGGACTAGGGGTGATACAAATATCTAGGTAGATGACTGTTTAGTAGAATAGTACACAAGCGACAAACTTACAGTTGTGAGATAGAAAATTAGCAAGAAAATAATTATAACTGAGCAGGTTTAATTTAATGCCACCACACTTGCAGCCTTGTGTCAGACTAAGTAAAAGAAAAGATATCGACACATAGGAGAGGATTTCAGTTAGGAAACAAGTTAATTTGAATTGAACTTTCCCCATGTGCATTGTATGTAACATGGAGGTTTTTTTTGTTTTTAAGAATTATTTACTCAAATTCCCAGAAAGCTAAAAACTAGTCAAATAGTTATTAATGAAATTTGATAATTTTTTTTTTTTTTTTACCTTTTGAAATTATTAACACTTACAATATTTAAAAAAAAAAAAAAAAAAAAAAAAAAAAAAAATTTAAAAAAAAATTTAAAAAAATAAAAATTTTGTGAGGTTTTAGTGGTGACACAAACAATTGTGAGACATTGAAAATTAAAATTATCTATGTCAATATGTTAATTCATAACTTGTAAATGATCATCTGGGAATAAGGTAAGCTTCTAGTCACTGAGCAACATCTATGTTATTTCCAATAAAGAATGATTTTTGCAGCAGGAAAATAATAGGACACTTGTCTGTTATAAAATGTTTCACTTAGTTAGAAGCCCTGATAAAGAAAGCCCAGAATATTTATATAATATGAAATATTTTAGTTTTGTGCCTCAAAATCCTTTAGTTTTAATCTTCAAAAAGGTCTCAGAAATCTTATCTTCATAAACCTGGGTAAATTGGAAGCTAATATTCTTAGTAGACACCAATATCTTTGATCAGTTAAAATGAATGGCCAAATTTAGGAAAATTTATTATCAAGATTATTTCTACTTTCCACTAATTAACTTTTTAAATAAATTGAGATTGTTTTATAGCATTTTAATTCCCTGCATAATTTTTTTGTCCAAAATCTTTTCAACAAAAATATGCATAGATTAAACAATGTAACTGGAGAGGAAAAAAAAAAAGTTTCAACATTACTCTAACCATTCTTGGTAATTTTATAAAAATTTTCAAACACCCTTTAGTTTCACTTTTATGAGAAAAGAACCAATTATATTTATTTTTTTTTTTTTTTTTTACTTATTACCCAACACATATGAGGAGTGGTTGTGAGTTACAACAGAATCCTGACGAATGAAATAAGAGTCAATGTGGAAACTGAACTTAAAGAGGAAGTCATAGTTTTGCCTAATATAAAGCTCTAAACTGAATCAAAAACAAGGAATATGGTTCCAGTTCTTCTATGTGGCATGTCTTCAGGACGTTCGCAATCATGGCTCTCCACAACTTCCTGTTCACTGTAGCTTTCAATAAATTGTCATTTCACCATCTCTCCCAAATCCTGCCCCACCATTCAGTCACTCAAGCTTGTCAAGTAGGTTATGCATAGTTTTCCTGTCTTTGATCTGTCTTGTGAGTATCAAATATTCCATTTTCCTCATTATATACCTGCAAAGCTATTTAAATAAAAAGCCGAGAAGAGGTTTGGTTAAAAGAAAAAAAAGACATCTACAATACATTATATTATCTATGTCTAATTGATATAATTAAGACAATTGATTATTAAGTCATTAAAAATATTAAGAGCATTTCATGAAATTCAAAAATATATTAAAAATATCAGGATTCCAAAAGAGAAATTTAAATACAGCATGTTGTTGGGTTTTAACAGCTTGTGTATTTGTATGCGGATCCTTATAAAGCTGTATTTTTGTGAGGGAGTAAAACATCTACCTAGTTTAAATCAATTGGGTTTGATTTAGAAGAGAGTAGAGTGTTGGTGTGATAAGTGAAAACTTTCAACAGAAAAGCCTAAAAAAAAAAAAAAAAAAAAAAAAAAAAAAAAAAAAATCAATTAGTTTTATTTTTGTAAATAAAAGCTGTATGAAACATTAATCTGATCAGTTGTGCACAACAGGTCAGAAGTGTTAAGACAAATCTTTGTGAAGTTCTATAAAAAGCATAATGTGCTTATTAAAAAAAACAAAAAATTTTTACTGTAACTTTACAGCTGAGAAATCTTGCAAGAAAGGCATGGAGAAGTGGAGAGACTAACTTGCTCAGCTAGAATTGTAACTATTTGGCTTTATCATTAAATATGTTTTCAACTAACTGAATAACCATCTATACAAGTCAATAGCTTACGATCATGTGTCACATGAAGTGCACTGTTTTTTTTTTTATGTAACTAGATAAAATTACTTTACATTTTAAAACTTATGTTAAGATTTTCTTTAGATCACAGTATCTAAGCCCCCCTTTTTTTTATAAGCAAACAAGAACATTTAGTAAATACACATGCTTGAGGACACATCTCAAGGATTGTCTTAAGCAGCCTGTGCAATTTTTGATCATTTGATTTGTTTTCTATGGCTTAACACTTTACAGGTTATTGAAAGCCAGAAAATATTTTTAGATTGTAAGATTTTTTTCTTTTTTGAGATAATGGTTTAATGATACAAGTTTTACTAATTAACCCATGGCTGGAGGGGAAAAGAGGTGTATTGATACATTTCACAAGTGTATTTGCACAAGTGAATGTAACAAGGCTCTCCGCTGATTAACAATTCAGTGACATTATCCATTCCACCACCTGTACACCCAAGCTTACAGAACCTGGTAACTTACCTAGATGGGTAACCCAGCAGTTACCCATTTAGGTACTGACCAGGGTCTATGCTTAACTTTGGTGAGCATACAGGAACTGATGAGTCAACATGATGTGGCTGTAAGCCTTGGCAAATGAAAATCATGAACTGTGCATTTGACTGCTTAGACAGGAAGAACTTATCAGCAAAACAAGGCTCAATTACCTTTTTTTTTTTTAAAGAAAGGCGTATCTTTTGTTGAGAGCTTTTGAAAACCATGGAGAGTACAAAAAAAAAAAAAAAAAAAAAAAAAAAAAAAGAAGTCTTAAGGAATTAATGGATTTAAGCCAATATTTGTTAAATCCGATATTAGTGTTATAAAAAAAAAAAAAAAAAATTACTATATATATATATATATATATATATATATACATAACATCCATAAATATATAAAGTTTGTCATTTAGCTGATCGGTTTACCACCAGCATTTCAACTCTAGAGCTTTGTAGACTTTAATGTAATCCTCCATCCACTCATCTGGAGATATTATCAATTGACTGTATTTCTTTTATATATATATATATATATATATATATATATATATATATATATACACACACACACTACATTGGTGCAAACGCCAATTCCACCCCACCATTGTGTGTTCATGGGCACAAACACATTATGGAAAAAAATAATTGTCTTTGCACCAATGAAAAGTGCAAATATAAAAAAAAAACAAGAAATACAGTCAATTACTGATATCTCCAGATGAGTGGATGGAGTGATTGCTAGAGAGTCTACAAAAGCTTTTGA